GTTATGTACAATAAGACTAATCACTAAAATGTATACCCTTTCTCATAGACAAAATGTTTTGTTTTTCCTCACAAACTCCTCACATATGTGTGAACCTTGTTTGTGGACTCACAAACTAGCGGCTATCAGTGATATGCCTTTCAGGGAATGGCATACAAATTGATTGTTGCCAATAGTTAAGTGCATCCATGTGGTTTTACCAAATTTGCTTTAATTTCCTTGTCAATTCATTTGGAAATCCGATTCTCTAAATAATAAGTTTATCTCTATTTTAAAAACACAACTGAAGTACACCTGTACCAACCAAAGAAGAAACTGGTTCTACAAATTGAATAGTTACATGATTAAATCTACGAGTGTATAGAGTTACTACATAAATGAATACATGAGTGATTGAGTGAATAGAATTACAGAATTAAAATTTAACATATGCATAAATGACATGAGTCAGAGATCACATTTTTGGGCGAAATAGCAGGTGAATAGTGTTAAAAATGTATAAAGTACTCCGTATTAGAACAAGATAAAAGAGTACAAAAGATAGAAGAAGTTATAGATTTTACAAGTAATAAAATATTTACCAAAAATGAATACGATGTGCACATAATAAATTCGGATGGAGTAATTGCGTTTGAGTAAACAATTAAGAGTGGAATATATGCTAAGAAGCAATTCGTATGAAAGGCTAAGAAACACCCTGCGCTTCAAAAACTCATTGTGCAATATCCAATCATTACGTTTGAGGATGTGATTTCGGTAAACTGACCTTTTTGGTGCCATTAGCAATCGAAGCTGGAAGGATTGGCTTCTGGGTAGCCATGGATTGAATCAGAAGTGGCGAATTTGATGTAGAAAAGCAGGTTCTTGGCATGGCCATGGCCTCCATCATCTGTCGCTGCACTAGTTGGTTGGTTCTGCACTTGCCTTATTAATTTTATAAGCCAATACATGGCTGGTAATTTTTTTTCCTCTTATATCAACAATTTTTAATTTAACTTTATGCATGTCAATTTCAAAATAAGTCAAATGATATAGATTAAAAATCTCTCCCTCTTTCACTAGTAATTTTCAAATTTATAAATTGATTTCTAAATATTGAATGTTGATTCTCTGCTTGATGAATTATTTTATTGTTTGATGCACTAGATGCTCCGCTTTGCAATTCACCGACTCCCCCTTGTCGACAAAACTCAGGCGACCAATGCAAATCAAATTGGAGCTAAGAGCATCTCGAATGCTATTCTTTTGAATGAAAGTAAATTTTGTCAAATGTCACTTAAATAAAACAATGTTTATCCACATAAGATACACATTAAAAGAAATAAACAAAAGATGTCCAATGCATAATGTTATACATTAAATATTATTCGCTTGTCATTTATTATCGAAACAAACCACTACATATAAATCATCGTTGCCCAAAAAATTACCCCGTATATAAATAAAAAAATAAATCCTGCACAGGCAGATCACCCAAAAAAATTGTTAGCTCTATTTCCAATTGGATATTTTTCTTCACAAGGTATTTAATTCCACCTTATTTGATTGTTCATTCTTCTAGCATGAAACGATAATTAATTTGCAACATCGGTACTCTTCTTTGGATTTATCTAGTAACAATATCAATGAAAATCGGTGACTCGTGAGCATGAAATTGTTTTTTAATAATAATAAAATAGTGCTTCCTTCATTTATAGGCTCCACGTATTATTTTTTAAAATACGGAGACTGATTCTATTAAAGCAATAAAAATACGGTGACCATGAAATCAATATATATATATAAAAGAGGAACTTTTTAAGAGCCTACGGCGCGTCACGTAATCATGTCATGTCATCATATATAATTATTATTTAATTACTTTCTATATCTTTTATTTTCTTTACACTATTACGTTTTGTATACCATCTAATTTGGTAACTCTTATTTACATAAAATCTGATTTTATTCGACACTTATAAATCTGATTTAGTAAACTTTTTGTATATATTGATTTTTTAGTATTACGTTTCTATATTCTAATTTGGTAACTCTTATGGAGTATTTACTTAAAATCTGATTTTATTATAGTAAAATTTTAGTAAACTTTTTGAATATATTGATTTTTTAGTATTACGTTTCTATATTCTAATTTGGTAACTTACGGAGTACTTACATAAAATCCGATTTTATTATAGTACACTTTTAGTAAACTTTTTGTATATATTGATTTTTTAGTATTACGTTTCTATATTCTATAAACTTTTAGTATATTTTATGTTTCTAAATTTAGAATTAGAAACATAAAAACTACCTATAGTGCATATGTAGGCTATTATAAATATACAAAGACTATGTAAACAAAAGTGTATTTTCACTATTGGCTTTCTCCTTAGTTTGAAGAATTCTATTGCTTAGTGTTCTTATATCAAGAATGTCATCACAGTAAGTTTCTACAACATTTTTAATGGTATATTATTCAATACTACGTACAGATGATACTTTACTATTCACATGTTTATGATACATGATATTAATATGTATTATACCTGATTAATTAATATTCATCTTTTTTTCATTTTTGAAAGTTTTTTCTAAAATAGACAAGTTGAAGTTTTGTTTTCAAAAAGAGACCTATGCGTTTACGCCTAGACATTGACTCCGTAGTCCGTTCCTACTTAATCCGTAATATTCAGGTATCTTAATTACAAACTGCACCAAGAGCTCTTATCAACGGATCCATTTGGCACCTGGATGTCGACTCATCACATCCACTCCCTTACCTAATACCAAGTATTTGAGTTACGCACTTTCATTTTTTTAGACAAATTAAAAACTAACAATTAAAAGCAATAATAATAATAATATTAAGTGAGTTACCTTTCAAGCTTCTTTTTTTACTCGGTATATTGGCTTAAAATTTAGACAACTTTTTTTGAAAGGATTAGTTTAGAGAGCTTATGATAAATGTCCAATAGAGAAAAGTGTTTTGAAATTTTAAAAACTATACTTTGAGACATTTTCAATGTGACTGAATAATGAGTAAAATCATTTGAATTTGTAACTATTAGAATTAATAAAAAAAATTATTATACATACCATTCAGACAGAACTTAATCGGTTTCAGCATAATCAGTCAATTCGATCAATTTTATTGATATCAAACGGGCTCTATATTAAATTGAAGGGTTCTTTACTATTTTCTATTAAGTACAGTCTGTATTAAGACATATGTGTAGGTTAAGATGTATATCGGGATAAAATGATATTTGTATATGAGGTTTTAAATTTGTATGCTAAATAAACAGTCTGATCCAAGTCAAATAATCAATTTAGTATTTTTCTTAGATTATAGTGTCAATGAAAAACTTCATGAAATAATTACATAAATATGACCTAAATAAAAATGATTTACAAAAGTATGATTATTGACTAGAGTAGTAATGAAATCATAGTAATTCATGTTCAAGTTTTGATCTTAAGTTACCACAACACCACATTGTAGTAATGAACAGTCATATTTATGTAAATATGTTTTATTTTAGTAATATTCTTGTAAAAAACCCAAACTTCATTTACTAATATAAATTAATTCCATAACCAATTTTAAAAAAAACACATTTAAAAAAAGCTAAAATACGTACTGCCCGTGCATCGCACGGGCTTGAAAACTAGTAATGAATAATAGCAATTGACGCCACTTTTTACGGAGACCGAACACTATTTTCTCATGGAATTAAGCATTCACAGTGTTATACATACTTTCTGAATCCTAACAGAGGTGTTGAAAGAGTCGAGTCCACATCAGATTAAAAGGACTTCTAAAACGATGCATTGGAGAACAAAAATTAATCACACCTTTATAAATTAGTGATGTGGCAAATTTTTGTTATGTCAAAAGAGTAGCACTAGAGATGCTCTAATATAGTCTCAACTTTCAATGCTAAATTGTAGAGAACACGTCACGCAATGAATATGTTTTATATATTAAATGAAGAATTCTAATGCTCAATGAAGATGTTTAATCACATAATCTCAATGCTCAATAGTAGAGAAAACGATACTCAATGAAAATGTTTTGATGCTCAATAAATTTTTTGAAATATTTTTACTCAATTGCATAGTTCTAATGCTCATAGTTCTAATTGCTAAACCCGGAAATTATTCGTAAGGTCTCAGGTTATGAAAATTACGGATCGGAACAAAGTCCATTATATGCGGTCCGAGTCAGGTTTTTTGTAGCCCGAATTCGTCCGGGTTCGTCTGGGTTCGGGTTGGGCCAGTTAAAGCCCGATTGTGAAATCATCTCATTGTCCTTTTATATTTTAAAAACTATTTTCAAATAAAATTAATCAAAAGTACAAATCCCATATAATAACACAAATATTAGTCTTCAAAATCACCAACAATTCAAATCTAAAATAGTTACGAAATTAAATTTATGGATAAAAATGTGACTAAAGTTATTATAAATATATTTCATGGTCATTGCGGTAAATAAATTGAGCATATTTGTAGTCACTAGAACTTACTAAGTCCTTTTTTCATCCACCATGATTATATTCATATATTATAAATTAATTTATTAATTATACTCGAATAATATATTGATTTTATATCATAGCTGATTGTTTCGGGTTTTTATCGTTCCGGGCCGGGTTATAGATTTTAGGGCCCGTTAATGAGCCTGAAATTTCGGGTTCGGTCCGATTTTTTTTATTCGGGCCGGTTAAAAAGAAAAAACCCGGACCGGGAACATAATTCGGGTCTAGCCAGGGTCGGTTTCCGGGTTTTGGGCCGGTTTTTCCCACCACCCTACCGACTCACTCTCCCATATGAGAGGTCTCGAGTCCGAAACTCCATGGAAGGAGTTTCAACCCTGTTCACCCATGGCACTCACCAATCCCCAACCCCTTACCCCCGGGGTAAAAAAATCAGATTCACATATTGAAATTCATAGGAGATTATGAGTTTATTATAGATCTAATTTAAGAAACTTTATGTAAGAAAAAGAAAGTGAATTAGAAGTACGAAGCAGATATCACGATACTCAATATTAGATTTCTAATGTTCAACATAATAGGCTTGATGTTCAATACAAGTACAACCGGAAGTCGTGAATTTAAACTAAAATTACAAAAATGTCACGGGCTGGACAAATCATACTGTACAACCGGTTATACGATATAGATGCTCATAATTGACGGTCAAAATTAATAAAATTGGACTCGAAAAATCAAACTGTAAACTTAACTATGGAATAGAGGGAGTATATGAGACTCAAGATAGACTTCTGTCTATATTAGTACAGTATTAATTATTAGTATAATACTATAATGGAGGGATCTTCACTCAAACGGATCACCCGCAGGTTGAGTTTCTGCCCCATGTCCAGAAAAGTCGGGTTCATTGGGTTTGAAAAGTTTGGGCATCCGCAAACCGGGATCAGTAGGATCCACCACTCTCACCTTCTGGCCAGCAGCAGCAGCGCCTTTCCTAGTGTTCGCTGCAAATTTTGAAGCCAAAATTGTAGCACCCAGATGTTGAGCATTGCTGTCTTCAAAAATACTATCACCATCATCACCACCATCCATGTCCATATATTTTGTACAGGCCAAGCTCTCTTGTCTAGCCAGCTCCTCTGCCAGCCTCTTCCTCTTGTAACGCCTCCATGCAGCTTGGATGAAACAAGCTCCCCACGTCCTCCACTGGTGCGAGTAACACCGAAAAGCATGCTGCAGCTTTTTGCTGTGCAGGCGCTTGAACTGGTTCGCCACGAACTTCAGGTCTTCAGCTCGGAGAGCGAATGCCTCGACCTCTGTAAGCGATTTCACTGTTCGTGTTGATGATGGAAGGTTGGCGTTCATATTTGGCATTAGTGCCCACGTCAGTAGCTCTTCGCCGCAAAAGTCACCGGGTTTAAGAGTTATGGAGTCCAAGAATCCAGAGCGCCCCCCATTTGTGGTGGAACTCTCGAGTTGCCCTCTGATAATGAAAAGCATCTCATTCACTGGATCGCCTTCCCGGACGATGAATGTGTGCTTTGTGTTTAACGATGAAACTAGGCGCTCACATATAGCATCTAAAAGCTGGTCATCCATTTGTGCGAAAAAAGGGACCTATGTATGTATATGCATAACAAAACATAATAGTGGAATGAGTAATTATGTACCAAGTATACAGTCTAACCATTTCTAGATATAATTAATGGTTGGAGAATTTGACTTTGAACCCACGTTTTGGACTATATTAGATTCTGTATACTACTTTCATAATCATTAATGATATGTATTGCACCCATCAACCCAAAAATTGTGAAGGAATATGGCTAAAAAGCTAAATGATTTTATGTTAAATGGGTGTGCACATGAATGATTCTAATGTCACCAAAAAAATGGGATAAAAAGTCAAAACGGGGTAAGACATACGTACCCGACGAACAAGAGCTAGACAAAGATGTCGTCGTATTTCGCGGCGTATATCCAAAGGTAATGAACGTAATATCTCCTCTTCTTCCACTCCTCTAGTGGCAAGCCATTTATATTGAACAAATCGGCGAACACGTTCCTGCAGTTCTTGGGGTAATTGACGGTGTCGCATCCACTCCTCAGTATCTCTGCGTTTCACCCTCCATTCTTCCAGTCTTGTTGACATTGATTGCAGGTAAGACTTCAATCAAATTGAAACTAATATCATATTTCAAACTCAAAGCATCATTAAAGGCTTCCTTCAATTCATACAACGGAATATTTGACACACAATTAATTAGTACTTCTCAATTCATATTATTTATTTACATACATGATTCATATACGAGTCTCATCAATTAAAGCTAATTTTCACATTTCCAACATTTTCAAGCTTGTATTGAAACTTACACACAATTCTAGTGCATGAATATTGATACAACATAACAACAATAACAACAACATTACCCTAGACCCCAGTGCCGCAACGGCTCCCACCTACGGTGGGATAGGGGGTCGGATGTACACAACCCATGTACTAAAGCAGGGATAGTGACCTGTGGGCGTAGCTCAAATGGTAGTGAGGGAGTGCCACAAGGGTTAGGTCCCGGGTTCGAATCCCGGCAACTGCGATGAGAGGTTACTATGCAAAAAATGCATAGGGCCTCTGCAAATACCGGGGACAGAGCCCCACTCTCTATCTGTCAAATTGTGATTTAGTCCAATTTACATCCTCCTATCATGCCGTCCGGTCGGTGTTGGGGGGCCCTCAGGGATGGGGTGTCATCCTTTTTAAAGGAGGGAGAGAGACGACTCATAATGAAAATCGCATCGAAAATTGCATGGACTGACTATTGCTTCATAACAAAAAAGCACAAACAGTTTAGTGAGTCATTTTGCTTTATTTCATCATACTCCAAGCCAAAAAATAGTGAGTTTTTGGCTCAATTGGAAATGATGGAGATTGATATGCTAATACTATTTAAATTGAACTCTGCCTATGCTCTGCCATTGGCCATTTCTCAAACTGGTGATCAATTTTCAATTAGAGAAAAGAAAAATAAGAAATGATTTCTTTTGATGAGATTTCAAGAAAACAAGATCATTCTTTATTAGGAATAATTGGACTCTTGTTTGAGCTTCAATCGTGAGAGCGTATGGTTGTCGATTAAGAGGAGATCGAATGGTACATCAAATGAAGTCATGGGTGTGGATATGATATTGTTTTTATGTTTTACATGTACCATCAATGGAAAAGGATAAATGGAGCTATGGAAGCTAAGGCAATGCGTCCAATTATCATCATCTACTTATGTGCACCTTTCCAATCAGAAGTGCGAAAATAACTAAGCCCATAAGACAGATAATAGAACTAGATAGTGTCTCAACGGGAAAAAGTACCTGCATATTTCCAATCAGAAGTGCGAAAATAACTAAGCCCATAAGACAGATAATAGAACTAAATAGTGTCTCAACGGTGTATGTTGTGGTCTCCATTCCTTGTCCATACGAACTGCAAACTAGAATTTTATAATTTCATTAGTGTATACCTTAATGAAAACTTCGGAAATACATCATTAGCATTATCAACATTTGAGATAAATGTTGTCACGTTAGTCCTACTAAAGTACTACTCGTATATAGTAATTAAGAGCATTAGCATTAGCTAAAATGTTGATAATGTGGAAAACTGTACGTGTTACTCGGGTAACAAATACCGGATGATGAATAACCATTATGTTTTCACGGGTAATAATAGTGGGGTTACCGTTTTGTACATACCCATTACCTGCCCCATTTTTTAGTTTTTACTTTTTATTTTATCACAGTACTTGCTTTTATTTTCTCACACTCAAACTCAAATAAGATTAGATTTTCCTCCTGTCCATTGTGTATATGTGAATGTAATCTCCTTTGGAACCCTCCCTAGAATGTTATTAAGAAGAATTTGATTTTGCTTGATCAAAAAAGTGTAAGGGAACACATTGATCATAATAAATAAATCATGCGGGCATAACTGTAAAAGAAAAGAAAAGAAGGTTGGGTATATATACGAACCTGAGGCTCCTCAAACCCCACCAGAGGCAATAAAAGTAGCGCTCAAAGAAGGTGGCAGAGGAAACCTGGTCGTTGTATGCAGCTGCGAACATCCCGAACTGGAAGCCGTTGGGTGTGGTTCGGGCATTGCAATTCTTGAACACCTGAGTGGACGCTGCCCACTCTTCCCGCTTCTCCATTGCCGCGGCGTAAGAACAGTCCAGGAATAAGGGGTTGCATTTCTCCTCCTTTTTGCACTCCATCTTCCAGCATGACAACTCTCGCTCTATCGACATCAGATACCATACAGCTCCTAAAACCTAGTTTTTTTCATATGACATTCCTAGCTATAAGCGCAGGCCGGGTGATGATAACAAGCTAGCTAAGATATTATATATCGTACGTACTTACATGACTAGCCAACATATAGAGAAGAAGATTATATGCAGCACCAGACCAAGCAGTCTTTGCCACAACCCCGGTGTTCTTGATGATCTTCCAGTTCAATGGGAAAATGACTAACAGCTTGGGAACATATTGTAGCATAATCACCAGAGTAATGGCATGATTCGCATGAGCAGCCGTAGGGCTTTTCTTCAGCGGCATTATAAACCAAATAATAATCTGCACCCATACATACATGTATGTTAGGTACGTACATGAAAAGTAAACATTTTGTAAAATATATTAACAATATGTTAATTACTGGTATTGTTGCACTTTGTTACTATAACTCTTAAATGAAACGAATTAGTGTCATAAATATACATGAATGTTTCGATCGGTAATACGTAGTACTATTCAAACATTCAACCAAAAAATCATACGTGGCGGTCAGAGTTCCATGCGTAGAGTCTATTGTACATTACTTTTATCCATGTCGTGAGTGCACGGCGGACTACACGCATGAATACCGGCCGTCATTTAGGACTTTTTGGCCGAAAATTTGAGTGACATTGCTAATTGAAACAATACCAATGGTTAAGGTGTCATTTATGCATTGCAACCGTAATTTAGCATTTCATATTTTATCATCTTCTAATTTGGATTTTGTGACTTTTATAGGACTTCTGGTGTAGTTTCTCGTGATGTAAATTTTAATTATTAAAACTGTTTTAACAATCCTCATGAATGATTTATGTTTGTCGTAAGACAACCTAAAAACCTGCAAATTGCAATTGAATTCGGGACGGGGGAAGTTTTAAGTAGCACATATTATCTACCACTCAATGATCACTCACTTGAGGGAGGGGGAGAGTGGCGGCGAGATCAATGGCGAAGTCGGTTTTAAGGTACCTGATGGCGATGAGGCGGGGATGAAGCACTAGCTCGCCTTTGCCGAAGACGCGGGAGGTGCGAGAGACGAAGGCGGTGCGGAACTTCATGAGGATCTGGAGAACGGAGAAGAAGTCGACGATGACGCGGAAGAAGATGAGGGTGAAGCCGAGGGGGATGTCGACGTACATGCAGGAAGCGGCGGTCATGATCTGAGGGAGGAGGAGGAAGAGGGGGTCGATGAAGAGGCCCACCAGGGAGGTGACGAGGAAGATGTGGTTCCATTTCAGGCACAGCTCCCCGTTGGGGTCCAGAATCTGCTCCCACCACGGCGCATCCCTCTCGTACACCAGCGACCACGCCTTCGACGCGCACCCCTCCACCACCAAATTTCTCCACCGCTCCACCTGCCCCACCGCCGCCTTCATCGTCATTCTCATGTAAGCTAGATTCATTTCGCCGTTTAATCCGTGGAACTAACTTAATTAACGGCAAAATTAAATAAATAATTACGGGTCGAGAAGAATCACTCAAAACTATATTCATTTGAAATTTGAATTGACAGGCTAGAGAAGGATACGGAGAACCAGACAATTCACCCACTCCATTGATTTGCTCGCGCGCGCACCCAACACGCACCGGGATTTTTTTTTAAAAAAATTGGGACATTTTTAAGACATATACTTCTGCAATTACACTAAATAAACAGTATTGTAAGTAAATGATTTATTTCACATCATTTAAAATACGGACTACCATTTAATATTAAAATATCTAAAATAATCTTATACGTGTAGACATATATTCATATATACACATGTATAATGTAATATTATACTATGTATAATATTACGTAGAATGGGCAATATCATGTAGAGCTCGTTTGGTAGCACGAAAATCGGCTGTTTTGGTTGATTGTGCTAAAATTTATGAATTTCTGGCTGAAGTGGCTGCATTGGCTGATTCTGTTGATTTAAGAAGGAAAAAATTAAAATATATTTTATTAATAAAATAAAGAAAAAATTATATGTAAAAATAGCTAAAATGGTCGTCTACAGTAACTTCAGTCAATACAGCCAGAAAAGTAACTCCAACCTTACTTTTTCTGCTTATTACACAATTCAGCGCGCGAAAGCAAAAGTTACGTGTTTGGTGAAAATCTGGTTGATAAGCCTTATAAGCCAAAATCAGTGTTGCCAAACGGCCTCGTAATGTAATTAATATAACTAGGGGTGTAATGTCTTAAGTCGTTCGCGAGCTATGTGGATCGTTCGGAAAAAACTTGACCCGAGTTCGTTATATTCAAGCTCGACTCAAATTGGGTTCGGCTCGAATAGACCTTATTTGATGCACTTTTCGAAAGTGCATCAGATAAGAGTTATTGTGCATCAGATCGACACTTTGGACGACTGAGGTTAACTCTCATTTTACACGTTAAGACTTTTTTTATTTGATCCAAATTCATATTTGGAATACATATTCTAATGTAGCACCGGTCCATTTTAGATACTCATTATGGTGTATATTATAGTAGTAATAGTTATAAATACTTCGTATAATCCATAGTAGTATTCTTATTACTATAATTATAACCATAATTTGTAATAATTATAATCTATAATATTTATTGATTTTTTTAGGGTAATTTATTGATAGTAGAATAAGGAATACAAATGTCAGTAATAAAGAAGATTAAGTACAACATTATATTATTAATTTGTTTGTACGTATAAATGTACTATTAATGATTTGGATAATAGAAATTTAACTTTACTTTGAATTCATGCATGAGTTTGAGTAACTTATATTGAGCTCAAACTTTTAAAAATAATTAGCAAAACTTGACCTGAGCTCGAGTTGAGCTCAGCTAGATCGAGCCTGAATTATTTAACTCGTTCAAGCTCGAACTTGAGCTCATAATTCTTATCAAACTCAAACTCGAGCATATCCATGTCCGGGTTCAGTTCGGCTCGTTTACACCACTAATATAACATAACATAATATAATTGGGTCATTAATAATGACTATGATGTTAAAGGTGTAATGTTTTTAATATTTGAGAATTTAATTATCATTTAAGAGCTTTAATAATTCTTTTAAATGAAACCTTCAAAAGAGGGAAGTGAAAACTTGTGAGAGAAGGGAGTAGTGATTACTGATTAGTTTCTCGTTTGAATTTTATTTTTATTTTTGTTGGTGAATGTAACATTTTAAACACTTGCTTTTGTAGTTTTATGCCATTCTGATTTAACTTTTATGCCACCCCTAAACATGACATATCAAAGATGGAAGTAGATGGAAAAGGATGGAATGATTAACTTGAATAAAAGCAGAATGGAAAGGATTTAGAATACTCAATCAGTCAATCATAAAAACGATTGACAATTTTTAGCGTTGTTTAATACATACAAACAAGTTATCAAATTTTATAGAAAATTCAGGTGTTCAGCAACGCTCGAAATTAGTTAGACACTACTTAGTCAGTAGCAAGATAAAGTTAAGGTCAACCTCAACTTGTGAAATACGGAGTAGAAGTTATAGAACAGTTGTGTTTACATGCTTGTTTTTTGTCAAAGAATACTCATTGTTTTGATTTTTTTAATAGTAGGTTTGATTATATTTGACACTTCTTAAATTGATAAGTTAGCCATTAACTTTCTCTGAAAGAAGCTCTCAAATGTGTTTGATTGGCCTTTCAAAGAGGCTTTCTTTCTAAGCCATGGATTTGGGGATTTACATGCAAAATAATCCATAAACTTAGATTCAATACTTAAAGAAAACAAGTTCTTGCAGAATGAATAATTAACAAGTTAAGTATTCTACTGAAGCAAAATATCCCTAGATTGATTAGTTTCTACTATATATCATGCAGTGCTATTGACGTTCATCTTAGCCATTTCTTCAAGCAAGTACTTAGATTCTTCTGCATAGTCAACTGGAGCAACACCTCTTGCTGTAATCCTTTGCCTTTTCTCATTGTTGTACTCTTGAACCGCCACACTAACTTGGAAAAGGTAAGAAACCCAAGTGGCTTCTTTCAGTTTCTCTAGATAAGCACTCTCTCCATCCTAAACACAGAAAAGGAAGTAAGAACAACACATTAGCTGTGCAAAATTCTATAAATAGCTTCTTAACGGGGCTGTTTTTCTTATGGGTAAGCATACATTCAATGCATGATGGTGCTTTACCTGAGATTTCAGCTTATTTAGCTCATCTGCAGTAGAGCCTAGTATTTTCTCAGCCTGGTCATTGAAAACAGACAGCCAAGCTTCGCCACTTGCATCTGAAACCTTCATAACCATTATATATCTGGAAATTGTACAAGAGTTGAATTAACATTAATAGTTTCATAGCCTTTTCTGTATTCGAACAAAAGATCAAGACTTGTAAAGTCCAAACCTTAGTCTGCACTCCTCCTCATTCTTCTGGCAGCTTTCACACCAGTACCCATTACTAAGGCCTTCAGTTACTTTCTTGCTGCAAGTCATGCATGCACGATACCACATAGCCTGATCAGGTTTGATGAAACTGATGTTTGCCTTTATTCTGTAGAATACAGGCTGCAGACAGAAACACCATAATTTAGAGGAAGCACTCAAGAAAGAATTAATATATTTAGTAACTCATATTGACATAGTGGAATATATGGGGTTTAAGCCATATTGAGTATTTTATACCTTTCCCTCACCGAGAGAGGGGTTACTGGTTATATGAAGCAAGGAAACTCTTTCAGATGATGACCAAGACCCAGCTTTGGAGGATGGACTCAAACCAGAACCAACTGAAGCCAATGGTGTTTCTTTACCTTCAGTATCAAACCTGTTCAGGAATTTAAAACATAAAATTAATGTGAATGACTAAATAATAAAAATGAAAATAACGCCCTTATTGAAGCAATTAACTGTACCAAGATCTCAAGTCTTTGGCTTTGGGTACATCTGGATTCACCAGCACTGTACTCTTGCTCAATGCAGATAAAGAAACGCCTAAAATAAGAATACACAAATAATAAAAATTAACATGTAATTCTCACATTCTGGTTATCACTCATTAAAAATAAAATTGTTACCTTGGAAGTCACCAACTTTAAGGGATTTGATTGCAACTACTGGAGATTTATCAACCATATCCAGCAATTCTTGTCCTACATTTGTGGCAAGATCATTCCACAGCGATACAACAACAGTCTTCTTCCTGAAAGCTTTTAGTGTCAGCTGAGAGATAAGAGAATGGAAACAATGTGTAAAATACAATTTAAAATGAACTCATACGTCTCATCTGCAATTGTTATATCACGCTTTGGGATCATCTCATTGTTACTTTTTCTCCGAATACTCACAGTAGGAGAAACACTTTGAACCACACCAATAACATCTGTATGTCACAACACTTAAGTTAGCCAACCAACTAGCAAGAACAAAGATGGAAAGAAAATTTAGAAGAAAGGTAACGTCTTACCAACTAACTCTCGGCCATTTACAAATGGGCCAAGCTCATCAATGGGGACAAAGTTAAATTTAGTTTCAGGAACAAAAGCAGGTTCATTGCTAGCCTCTTCAACTATAGAATTTTCATTCAAGGTCATTTCATAATCATTTTGTACAGTCTTGAACTGCTTATTTGCCAGTTTAAGAGTGCCCTTTGAAATGTAGTACATCTTCCCCATTTCAAATTTGTCAAAGAACTTCTTTGCTGCTTCATTAAACATTGTTGCTTGTATTTGTGTGCCCTGGACATGACAAGAACATGATACATTTAAGTAAACAATGTGCCATATAAAACCGCATATTTCCCTTGCTAGTAACACAAAGAGACAAGAGAACTAAACCAAAAAAATACATAATAATGCACTCACATCCTGATCTGTTAATTCAACATTGAAGACACAGCCTTCTCCCCTTGCATTCTTGTAAAACCGCATATTTCCCTTGCTAGTAACACAAACTTTGATTGTCCAATTTCCTTGGTATGGATTCAGTGATATAAGTGGATGAACTCTCCGGGTCATTGCCATGCGTGCTGGAGGTGCCATGCTGTCATCAAACAATACAAGATCAGCCATTAACCCTGACAAAATGAAAACTATATTTCTTTATACAAGATACAAACTAATATCCTCCTTATAACATTGCACAATCTGAACAAATAAACCTTCGGACCATCTTCAAAGATGAAGCAACTTTTCCAATGCTGAATATGGAGTATAAAAGAAGATAGAAGTACCAATTTCTAATAAGAATAGAGAAAGAGGCATGAGAAACTCACTTTCCAGTCTGTTCATGTACAATCTGTGCAGCTGATTTGGATATCATTTCTTGCTTGGGTTTCAAAGAAATGCAAGCTGAATCTTTCTCCACTGAACTTATCATGTCTATATCCTGTTTGGGCTTTAACACAATGCTTGCCCCTTCACTTTTCTGTTCATTTGTGGCGTCAACCTTGTATTCAGCTTCAAGGGAAGGGCACACAGCCTCGCACTTTGTTACAATCAGGTATCTAAAAGGTCAAAGTCAAATCAATTACCAAATTTTAAGGATTTTCAAAGGAGAAACAAAGGAAACAGTAAAGCCTAAAGGACTCCATTGATTCTCACTTTTCATTCTTCATGGGAATGTCATTGAGAG